AAGTCCTGTACTCTTACAGTTTGTAAAACTGTAAAACAAAGAAAAACAAAAAGAAATAGTACTTTTTCCTTTTACCTTCAGTGATCTCTGGGGCTGTACTTGGGCTCAGCATTGCCAGGTACCTGCTGTTTGCATCTTCCTCTGTAAATTGTGTGGCAGGTTCATACTGCAGGATTGCATCCAAGTCATGAAAGAACTTCATAGTTTTAGAGCTGTCTCCAGAGTTGTGGGCATATTTAACTGTTCTATATTCATATTTGAGATTTTTATACTTTGCGCGGCACTGTTTCCAATCTCTGTGTACTCCTAATGATTGCAGCCTTTTAGCAATGTAAATAAATATTCCTTTATTTCTCAGGGTTCCATAAAGTTGTTTTCGTATATTTTTTTCTGCCCAGACACTTAGCAAAGCTTTAACCTCCTCCTCAGTCCAGTGCTTTCCTGCTCCACTCTCCATGTTGAAAGTGACCTGGAAATGATTCACTGTTTTTAGCCAGGGTTTTGTTTCCTAGGAAACCAGATGGCTGGTTGTCTATAAGCTCTGAAGAGCTGAAAGGATCTGCTTAACTGGTTCAAGCTGCCTGAGGGAGTAACTTGAGAAACTGCCAAATAAGCAGGCTTTGTTCGTTAAAGAAGCCTGGACCGAAATGATTCCTAACCCTTATTCATTCCAGCTTCAAGGAAAAATTACCCTTGGCACAATAGGAAAAGAAAACCACTTTTTTGTATTTCTTCTCTTACATAATGTACTGTTTTACCAAATGATTGTTGAGTTTTAAAAATAGTTGGCCCTGAGGTTTATAGCTAATGTTAATATAGTTTTTTCTCTGATGTGAATCACCTAGTCTTCTAGCATCAAAAAGATCCACAGCATTTCACTAAATAAAAGAATTCTAAATCATGATTTAATTAGTCTCATAAACTGTATAGTATTATGCGTATCGATTTTCAGCATAGTATTTAATATATTCAATAAAATAATTTCAGGTTTTTTTAGCTTTTTACTTTGCAACTGTATTTAATGTTGTTTTTCCCATTAATAAAATACCTAAATAATTACACTATATAAATATTCCACGTGAGAGATGAAGTTCTAGATGGTGGTAACGTGAGTGGAGCAGAAAGGACATTTTATGAAACATGTCAGTAGATTTTTTTAAAGACAGCGACTGACCACAGTCAAGGATATCTCAAACATTTCTATATAGATGATTGGAAATGTAGTGATATTAAAGTGGAAGCAGTTTGTAGGGGAATCAATTTTGATGGGGGAAAAGAGTTTGATTTTAGAATTGGAGGTTTGAGATAACCTTAAATATGCATGGTTAAGTTGTAAATATAGGCTCTCTGCTTAGGAGTAATGCTAAGGAGTTTGGAGCCATGTGCCTGCATGAAAGGGCTAGAAGATCCCTTTAAGAAGTGGAGATATTGGCATTCACAACATCTTCATTAGACTAACCTGTGGTTAAAATCGGGGACTTCAGAAGCTGAGTGGTTTACTTATTTATTAATCAATATTTAAAGCATTTAAATAATGAAGAGCCCAGGGTGATGAACTGAATAAAACAATGTAATTGCTGCTTGACATGGTAATGACTGCATAGCTTTCTCATAATTTGGTGTAGTATCAGAGATGCAAAGGATGTTGGTAAGTGGGGTCATTTTTTTTAACCACATGATATATAGAGCTGTTAAACATGAAAATCAACTAACTCAAGTTAACCAATTATAATCTATATCCTCTTAATCGTCTTCTGCATTGGTACCTTTGTTATACT